GTTGCAACGGTGCAGTCAAACCCAGGCCCAAATGAAATACTGTGACACGATGACTTACTTACAGAACTTACAGAAAAAAATTCCCTAAGATTTTTTTTACACAGACTTTTTTTTCTCTTTTTTTTCTTTTGAAATGGCAGCAGATACATTTAAGTTGAATTTTGTTTTGTTTTTTCTGTGTGTGTACATCTCTGTTTGCATTTTGTCTAATTTGGGTGGTTTGCTAATCCAGCTCTAACATCATGTAGATAATTTGTTGACCTCTTCAAATCTTATATTCAAAAGTCCAATACGTGTCTCAAACCTGGATTTCAAAATCAAATCCAGATATGCTAGCGGCAATAAGTCACCACTTTAGGCCGTAGTTTATCATAAACAGTTTATACATTTAAATCAGCATTATGACATAAAAAGTAACGATTAGCCAATAAATGTTGCGATGGAAGATCAAAATGTCGTGTAACAAGTTGACAGTTCTGTCTCATCTCAGGTTGAAGTTGCTGCGAGCCATTATGAACATAAATCTGACCCCAAGGCCGTGTCACCACGACTTCTTTACTTCTTTAAACACCCACATTTCTATGCATAAGGCATCATAATTCAAAGTCACACTGCCCTCTTTTGCACAAAGGAGCCTACCAGCATTCAGCTTCAAACTCCATCTACCGTTCTTGACACGCATACCTTAGTCACTCCAAAGTGATTCCCAGTCATTGTGAATGCAGCAACACTCGCTTTCCGTCGGTAAAATAACTTCCTTGTTCTGTTCAGGCAATGACTTCAATAACTGGAAGGAGCTTTCCAGACAAGTGCCATTTAAAATCAAAGCTTGTAGCAGAAGCAATCTACACGGCATTACCACTGATGGCTGAAAACTTTTATTTGACTAATATTTATGGAGAAATTCAACACTTTTCGGAGCGTACCCGTGTTTATGCAAAATCTGACCTAAACAAGAACTGATGTTTTGAAAATCAGAGACTTAGGTTCCATCAACCAGCTCACAGTTTCTGGTAACCGTTTTTATTGATCTATAAATGCAGAAAAACTGAACAGCAACAGTTTGGCGGGAGGGAAATAAATGAATTGC